AATGAATGGTAATTACCGTGTTCTGCTTACCAATCATCTTGAGCTTCTGATGCTTGGTGGAGACCAGCATATCCCAATCGTGGATGGTTGGCCTTCCCAGAATTACGTTATACTCCGACGAGAAGTCAGCCACTATGAATCTTATCCTTTCCGACTTGTAAGCCTCCTTTGTTCCCAAGGTAAGCCTCAGGTCAATGTATCCCTTGGGGATAGTATCGCGGCCGTTGAACGCAATCAAAGCCGTGTTGCAGGGTTTCAAATCTTCCACATCCAGGTTCATTTTCCGGAATTCCTACCACAGAATTATGTCGGCACAGCTGCCGTTATCTATGAACATTTTCTTGACTTTACAGTTGACTAATGTGCCGGTGATAATGACATCCTCCAATTCTTTCTTTGTAAAAAACAGCAATGATGCTTCTGGTTTGACTCCTTTAAACTTGGGCCGCTCTCGTACCGAAAGCACCTCTCTTAAATATTTTCTCCAGCTATTCATTTATCACCTCCTCCACCGAAACCCCCGCTAATAACATTGCATTCAAACTCAGGTTCTATGAATTCATCATCCTCTTCTTTGGCCGGCTTATTTCCTCGGCCATCATCCCTGAACTTCTTTTCTCGGGGCGGGGTCATAAGACGTCCTCCTCTCCTCTTCTTATTATTCTTTCATCCTTGAGTTCTTATCAAATACTAACACAACTTTCCTTCTCTGATATATCTTTCAATTGCGTCTCTGAGATCCCAGCATTCATCGGTTGTGTGGCCAGGGCCATCATGGAACGCGCAATATCGAGATTGGTCCAGGCTGGCTGGATTCAGTACTGGTTGTGGCCTATCCACCCTCTTCATTTCGATGGATGCTACCTCTCTCCAGATTTTAGATCTGAACGAATTCAGAGGTGTATCTCTATCAAATTTTACTTTAGTTGAAACTTTCTCTTCTGGCCTTTTACCCCGGAAATCACTTTGCCTTCGATTTCCGAGTTTCTCCACCTGGTCGTGGTGTTGCCTTGGTCTGCATTTTCAATCTCCATCTGTTCGAGCTCCAAATATTTTTTGGACCGTGCAGTGAACTCAACTAGAGTTCGGACTGGGTTTTTGTATACGGATCTAGCTAACCTGGAGGATCCGTGGAGGCCGGCAATCACCAAATGCAAATGAACATTCTCAGACAACCCGGGAACTTGTAAGGCGGCCATTTTGAAGCGGTCCAAATGCTTCTGCAGCGTTTCACCAGGTTGTTATTTTATTTTTCCCAGCGCGAATTCGGACTTGGGCTGTTTTTTACTTGTAGCAAAATTCAGCAAGAATCTACCTCTGAATTCTTCAAACGATCTGATGGATCCTGCTGGTAGAGATGAGAACCTTGATTGAGTCGCTCCCGTCAGCGTTGTCGCAAATAACCGGGTTATCAACGGCTCTTCAATTCCCTTAATGTACATCGCCATATCAAAGGCATCCAAATGCACTTGGGGGTCTTGCGCTCCATCGTATTTTGGAATTTCAAACAGATTGAGGTTCTCTGGAAATGATGCATCCACGATCTCGTAAACGAAGGGGATGTCATTGTATTTCCCCTGTGATACTTCCTCTTGTAGACCCCGGATACGTCGTTCGGGTTTGAGTTCCGGGATGGGCGTCTCCAATCTGAAGACTGGGGGTTCTCTTCCAGCCTTCCCGTTTGTCCTATGCCGCCGTTGCGAACTTCGGGTCCTTGGTTATGAACCACATTGGGTGTGCTTTTTTGAGGACAGCTTTCGATATTTCCAATTCCTCTCCCCCGAGCCTGGGTCCCATCAGGGTTCGCCTGGGTGCTAGTGATCCGCGAATCATTCATGACCCGTGTTATGGCTCATTCCGGGTTCGGGTTGGTGGCTCGACCTACTCGAGCCTCCAGCTCTCGCATCTGTCTGGCATCTGCCTCCCTTTCAATCCCGTGTCTTCTCTCCATCTCTTCTATTCTCCGAAGTACTGCGGCAACAGCCAGATCTGTTACCCGAGAATTACCAACTGCACCGTTTGGTGCCTGCACAGCATCCGCCGTTTTTTCCTCCATCGGTTGTAACACTTGCACATATGGGGCGTCTGGATTGACGGCTGGAGTTGATGCTGAATCGGAGTGCACATCACTCATGTGCACTGCATCGGTATCTACCTGCCGATGATCCGATGGATTCTCCCTGATTGGAGAAATAGGCTGGATCCTGGAATTCGATCTTGATGGTTGTTGAAATCCACTTCTTGTCGCTCTCACCATCGTGGCTTTCGATCACGTAGTAGTGGGAAAACGTCCCCACAGACGGCGCCAATGTTTTGTCGTGGGCAGAGGTGTCCGACCGTAAGTCGGTTGTTTGATGTTGGATCTATAGCTTTCTCTTTAGATACCTATGGATTAGGTATCTTGGGGACAGGGAATCACTACACACAGTACGATGGCCTTAGCCTGAAGGGGTGTGTGTGTGCACTGTCGTGTTTGAAAGAAATAGGGTTAGAGAGACCAGCCATACCTGTGGTCTTTAGCTCCTATTTATAGAGCTTACCTTTGGGCTTGTGTAGGTTGGGCTTCTTGCTGTCGTGGGCCTTTCCTTGGTCCATAACAACTACAATCAGATTAAAATTTGTGAGTCGTAACCAATTAGAAGGTGCAACATTGTGATTAATGTAAACAACCACCTACATCCAACATTAAGGGGGTGTTTGGTTCAAGTTTTTGGAGAGGATTACCGGTAATCCTTCTTTGGTAAATGTAATTACCACGTTTGGTAGAAGGAATAAATTACGATTCCCGGATATCCAAGGATTACCGGTAATTTGATTTATAAAGAAAAGTCACTATTCAGATTACCAAAAATAATATGGTAATTCAGAATACCAATCAGAATACCAAGTAAAGGGAAAGCACAACAATAAATTTTGAGACAAAAATACCCCAATACACATAAAAATCTAGACCCAATCTATCAATTACAAAAGTAAAAATAGTTTGGGGTTATTTTTGTAAAATAATTTCATATTCCAAGTCATATTTCGTTCTAAACCAAATATGGAATCAATAATTTTTACCCAGTATTCCCGGTAATATTTTGGCGAACCAAACACATCTTTCGTAAGATTCCAAGTAAACTCAATTTCTATTGAATTCCCATTAATCATGATTCCCGGTCACCAAAAAATTTCTCCTATACCAAACACACCCTAAGGGATTTTGACCTTAAGATGTAAAAAAAATGGTTTTACCAACATGGCCTAAGGCTATAAAGATTAAAACAGCACACACCCATGCAGAAAAAACACAATCCCTGTTGTCACTTGCAGGTGACTAATTTAATAAACAATAAGATATCGAATAACTTATACGAGCACTTCTGTGTTTTTTGGTGTTGGGGATTGTTATGTGAGTGGTGTTGCTGGCAAACATGTTCAGAAACAAGATTCCTTGCATAATTTGATCCAATAATCTTTAATTTATAAATGAAAGTGGAGTAATGAGCAATCAGACAATAAATAAACCCTCTTAAGAAATAGGAGATTGCATTCCCGTTATGATTGGCCAAGCACGCAAAATTTCTTGACTAATGACTCCTAGTTTGAGCTATAGCATAAGCAAACAAAATTGCAAAAGGAATGTAAACACTAATTGGCCAGATAAGTAGTACCAAATTTTGTTAATGCTAATCATACCAAGTAGTACTGATAAAAGCATATGAGAAGAATATTCATGTAGGCATGCTCTCAGAATAGTTAGTCAAGGTCAAAGAAATTATGATGACTAGAGAATCATGATTACAACAATGATGATGATGACCACCAGTGCCAGTCCGCCACTATATGATTCTTTTATACTTTATGACTTTGTTTGAAATTTAAACTAAAAAAAATGTATAATTCTTTCACTGACTCCAAAACAGTAAGAAGTCGGTTTCAGTTTGTGAGATTGAACTAACTGGTTGACCGGGAACATGATTCATCCCAACAATTCTACAAAATCCAAATTGCCGGTAATAATTTGAAGTCAAATCAATACCTAAATAATTCAGAGAAATTGTTATCAAAAAAAAAAAAAAAATTCAGAGAAATTAAAGAAATTCAGGGCCTCAATAATTGTTACACATATTTTCTAAGTAATGCTTAAAAGGTTTGCCTTTAAATGGAACACTTATATTAACTCACTTGCTGACCCTTTTTTGCTTAGATTAGTATACAGATACATGGAGGTTAATGTTATGATGGAACAATTAATACCGAGTCTTGCAGATCAGACATACCAAAGTGGTTTTTATTGGTCACTGTTTTAACAATACTACTTATAAGCAAACATATCTTACCAATCGTGGATCTTATTCTTTCTTGTTTATTTGTCCTACTTTGCTTTGCACATCAATTTGTTATCAATGACAAATCTCTGCTAGCAAGAAACCAAAACAAAATGCACGTCGAACCTTAATTATTTGCCACAACATTCCACGAATATGGACCACATTATCTGCGTGGATACAAATTGATAAGACAAGTATAATCTGATATTACAGTATTGCATCATGTAAAATACCAAGAATATATTTGTTTAGAAAGTCAGGACCCAATGAAGTGAACTACCACAGAAGAACATAGCCAGGTGTTGCAGATTAATTAGTAGACAAACACAGCATTATTGGTCCCACGATTCAAAACTTACGGCTCATGCGGTGTTGGGTAGAGAAGAAATTTTTTTTTTTATCCGAAAAAATTAATTTCCGAAAATATGTTTGAAATTTTTTTTTCCTGGATATGTTACTAAAAAGTATTTGGTAGGTTAAATTTTTTTCAGAAATGTTGAGTCAATTTTACTGATATTATGTGTTAATCTTTCCACCACATGAGGAAAAAAATAATTTCACTCCTTCAATGGTAATCTTCCCCAAACATTTTACATAGAAAAGCAAATTATGGGAAAAAAATCTTCACAGCCATATTTTTACTTCACCTCCTACTAAACGTAGGCAAATAATTTTTTTCACCTCATTTTCCAAGAATTTTTTTTTTTCACCTTCTACCAAACACCCTCTGAGAGATTTACCGAAGGGATTTCTTATCATGTTGAGAAAACTTCATTTCTTATTATTACAGGTTACAAGTAGATTCATTGATTTTCCTAGAACTTACAAGGCCTTTTAAAAAAGAGAAAAATATAGTATATGTTACCCTCTAAATTTACCATTCCCAACTGGAAAATTAAAAAACAAAAAAAGTAATCACTCAATTCTTTTCAGTGGTGCTTCTGTTGGTAGACCACAACTTACTAAGCATTCGTTTGGGTTGAGTAGGAAGAGCACGAAGACCCTTAAATCTAGAAGTTCTCCCATTTCCATAATTTTCATCTAAGTCGTCATCATCCTCAGCAAGCTTCATCTTGAGAGTTGAGTTCCTTGTTGACATTGGTGACTTGAATCTAGAAACATTCCAATGGTCATCCCCATGTATACTTGTAGTAGTACTTAATGGTGCTGTATGTTTTGATGGGTCAATGCCATGTGCAGTGAGTAATGCCTTGATGTTGCTTTGCATGTCACTCACTTTGCCACCAGCTGCTGCTGCTCGAGCTTGCTCAAAGAAGAGAACTTGAACAACCACTCTTAGGGGGAGTAGTTCATTCTGAGCTGCATGCATGCAGGCTTCCATAGACAGTTTTCTGCAGTCTAGAATTCGACATAGTCTTTTCCTTTCGCTCTTGTTGAGTTCTGGATGAGCCTAGATTTTCAAGTTAAACAAAATAGACATATTAGTCATACTAAGAAGGCATCATCCCTCTACAAACCAAAAATTTCACGCATTGGTTCCCTTCCTTTTTTTCCACTGCTAGATATGTTACATCTTGTAAAGAACTAATTCAACTCAAAAGCTTAAACTATTAGGTGAAGTTCAATTGATGGTTTCATATATCTCTAACACGTCCTCTTATACGAGAGTCTATTGAGCTTGAACGGTGGACAATGCACAGACCCACCTACATGTGTTAAGAAACTCCACAAGATTTGATTAATTATTAATTAAATGGGGGGCGGTAAGGATCGAACCCGTGACCTTATGGTCACTGAAACTCTGATATAAAGAATCAATTCAACCCAAAAACTTAAACTAATAAGTGAAGATCAATTAATGATTTTATATATCCTTAACAATCATTAATGAATGTAGCGAACCCATAAATGGTCAATCAATGATGGAAAATGGAGGGGACACACAATTAATCATGTGGAGGACTAAAGAACATCTATTTATTTTCTTTTTCTTTTTCTCCCTATCTACTAAACAAACTAGCAGCAATAAAATGTAACTCTTTAAGTACCCAAAAATAAAATGTTACTCTTTAATAGTTTTCAAAGGCAATCTTTTACTTCTTGTTATTAACCAAGTGAAATCACAAAGGCCTGAATAGACATTAGAAAATGTAACTATATCACTGAGAACGTGACAACATTCAGGCACCTTTTTGGTGGGTCAGCGGGTAATAAATTATGAATAAGAGAGGATTTTAAGGTCGAGTTGTTTATCCCACTAATTCTGTCCCAACAACTGATTCAGACACCTTTTTTTTTTTTGTTTTTTTTTTTAATCTTCATGGTCATTATTTATTTCTCTCAATGCACAAAATGTAGTAATTCTGAAAACAGAAGATAAATTGTTTTTTCGAAGATTTACCTTGAGATAAGTGTCAATAGCTCTGTAAAGATCATCATGATCATGTCTTGCAAAATCTGGTATAGTTTCAGCAAGAGCAATGAATTTCGACAGAGGCAAATTCACATCCATGGCAACCTCTTGAAGATACCTATCCACAAGCTTTGCCACCTTCAGTTTTGAGCTATGAGATGCTGAGGAGGACCTCCTACTCTCTTGGAAATCCAAGTTAATATTCTCAGCTGAACGAGACCTCCTTCTTTCAAATTCCAACCTTGATCTTGGAGGGCTTGTTGGTGGACTCTGACCTTGCAACATAAATTGTTCCAATATGGTCATCACCAAGTCCACATCATACAGCATATCATTTGTAAAAGATAGTGAGGGTATTAAAAGATCATTTACTGTGGCTTCCTCCAATTGAAGTCCAACCCTTCTAGCTAATTCCATCTTTGATGAAGAAGAAGCATGAAGAATATTTGCTACCTTCAAGAGTTTAAGAAGGAAGCTGCAAGAAACTGCGCCTTTCTCTGGTGGAAGCAAGCTTACTAATGATTCCAAAAGCAAACGATGCTTTGAAGTTATTTCACTTGCTGAATCTGAATCAGAATCAGATTCAGCTTCCTTCTTGACATGTCCATTCTTGGTGATATTTGGTAGCCATCTACATGCATAAATTTTTAATGCATCACCAATGAGATTCGAAGGTGTCTTGCCACCAGATTTGATAGCTATCATGGTTCTCCAATAAAGATCTATGCTCAATTCTGCCAAATCTTCAGCCCACCATCCTTTGCTTGTTGATTTATGTCTCAGACTTTCTGTTCCATTGCAAGATACATTATCATCCTTTACCCTTCGTGAATGACTATGTGACAAACTCACCTTTGAGGGGTGGCTTAATACCCTTGAGGCAATGGCTTCAATGCATCTGCTGGTAATTGCCAACTCCTCTGACCACAAAGGCAATGCTTTGGTGGTTTGTAGAGTCACAATAGAATCCTTCCAACCATGAAGAATGCAAGAATTGAAGAAAACCTCAATCTTATAAATCAAGTTCCCCTTCTCAATATCCTCTGTCATATGCAAGTATTCGGCAGCACATCTTGCAACTACAATGTTGTAAGCACTGAGAGTGATAGTAATACCATAGCAGAACTTAGCACAAAGTTCAAATGCCTCCACCCCACCAGGAAAATCAGGGAGTTGAACTATTTGATGCTGAGGAGAATCTTGAGACTCTGAGCATAACCTTTGAAGGCGGACACATTTGGATAGCAAGGGAAACTGAACAGCATCAGCATGAACTTCAGATAATCAACATGTGAGTAACAACTAACAAAATTTTCAAAACAAAAGATAGAAAGTTTTTTTTTTAAAAAAAAAAAGCAACTGAGATTGTTGATGGTAAGAAGAAGAAGAGTTTCTATCATTGATATTCTCAACTCCAAAAGTTTCAAGGAGCACACCTTGTGAAGAAGATATCTACTTCCTTTCACTTGAATTATGAGGTCGCTTGAAACTTCAGAAGAGACTGATCTGCACACAAAGAAAAGAAACTCATGTTAATTACATGAAGCTGACACATCATCTTCAAAGAACAATCAAATTTACCATTTTTATGCCTTGCCTTACTGACTCAGTAGTGTAGAAGGTATCTGGACGAGATCCCAGTTTCATAAACTTCATGATTGTGTCAATTTCTTTTATGATAAATCATGTGTTACTCTGCACTAACCAATTGCATAATTCAGTACAACAGAACACAGGAACATATAGTGAAAGAAGCTCAGCACAAAATACTCTTTATTATATGCCCGTAATATATTTTCCTGTTTTACAACCCCAAGTGGAAACTGAATCGACAGAGCTCATGACCCTTAATAGAAAACTTCAAGAACTCTCACACAGGGAAAAAAAAAAAATAGAATTTTCTTGGAGGAGAGAGAAGATGTAGAAGTCCCAAGAGGAAAGGAAAACAAAGAGGTTTGTTGTGGGAAAAAAAATAATATAAAGCAGTTTAAATAAGTAGGAGCAACAACAAAAATGGTCAATTAACAGACACTCCAAAATTATGTTTGTTCAGTCAAAATAGTAATATAACTGTTAAGTGATTTGTACATTTAAAAAAAAAAAAGGATCAAAGGGCAATGCAAATTCCACCAGATTTAGGCTCAGATAGAGAGATTACATAGGTATACTGTAAAATTAATTAACTACACAAATATCTTACAGCACAGCAACCAAAAAAAAAAAAGTTGCTACAAAACGAAAAATTTTATGATAAAAAATTACACAAAATCATTCTACAATTGAAAATACTTAAACTAAATAAAAGAATGGGGTTCAGAGATAAGATTAATTTATAACCTGAGGTAAGAGCATCTGGATACTCTCCCAATACAGAAACTGTCAATCATTCATCAGCAAATTCGACCTGGGAAAATTGTCCAACTTTATTATTTATTTATTTATTTTGTGATTCCTCGTGTAAGAATATAATGTCGTAGCTCGTATGTCTTTTTTCTTTTTATTTTTTAACTATGGAGATATGGCATTGCCAGCGTGCATATCGAAAGGCAACTCCCACGTGCTTATCCTGTGCCCACTAGTGCCCTTCCTTTTCATCATTACCACCGCAAATTTCCAATTTTTTTTTTCTTGACCAATTATAATCATTTCTTTGTGGGTTTAATTAGCTATTAGATTAATTCCGAGTCACACATTAATCACATTTAAAGCTTTTCACTCCTTTCAAATATATATTTGATGGGAATCGAATTTAGATCTCACCATTCTTGCACTTTTAACTACTAGTGAATTACTCGCGCGATGTAGGGTAAAAAATTGAAATTTTTGTTGGTCGTAATTGGTTAATCTCTAAAAGAAATCAATAACTTCATCTTGCTATGAAGCCGTCAATGATACAATAGTAGAGGTATAAACATGAAGGAACAAAAGTGAAAAATGCAAACCTTTTATTTGAAAAATATATGAAATAAGAAATAATTGTCTTGCTATTTTGTGCTATTTTTGAAATTGAAAAAGTTACAGTAATCACACAGAACTTTGTAAGTATCAACCACAGACAAAACTTTGTATTTCAGAGATATCGATTATGGGGAAGGATATTGTGACAACCAAGTTGTGTTACTACCAAGTGACTACCAATCAATCTTATCGTTAGATCGATTATATAGATCCAACGGTTATATTTATTTCCATCTTTGTATGGTCATGATTCCCCAAATTTAATATTTTATATTTATTTTCACCTTTGTATGGTTATGATTTCCCATATTTAATGCTTTCACTTTAAATATGGGGAATCATGACCATACAAAGATGGAAATAAATATAACCGTTGGATCAACATAATCGATCTAACAGTGAGACTGATTGATAGTCACTTGGTAGTAACACAACTTGGTTGTCACAATATCCTTCCCCATCGATTATTATGCAAATCAAATATAGTTATGTACTTAATAATTCAGTCTTCAAATACAACAAGGCATGCATAACAACAACAATCAGATGCCATATTGTTCTACCAAAAAGAAATAAGAAAAAAATGTGACAAAATCTAGAACAATTCCCAACAGTTAATGCCCCAACAATTTTAGCTATTACTTCTTCTATTCTGCTTTCCTTGGCCAACGATTAGGATATCTAGCACCATACAAAGACAAAAAAAATGACAATAAATTATTTAGGATGAACACTACTTGATAGTAGAAATGTAAAATTGCTGCAGCAACCAATAAAAGTCCAAATTAACTATATGTGGCATCAAATAAACTACTCAGACATTTGGATTAAATATATACTACTCATTAAATAGATGACACTGATATTTTAACACTTAGAAAAAATAGCCTCATAAAAAAAAATTGGATTAATTTTTATTTTTTATAGAACCAACTAAACCTTGTCTTACAGTGGAATGAATATGTCTAAACAGAACCAAATCAACTACACTAATATTTGAAATACTTTCTTATAGACGATGTTAAGGGTACTATTTGTAACACAACCATTATCATCAAGTATCAATATCTTCAATCCTTGTTTGCTCTTTATTCTTGTTAGTGCCACATATAATTGTCATGTTGTAACATCCCCGCCGGTTCAATTAACATACATATGATACAAACAGAAACAGCGGAAGACTTAACTTACGAAAATACGAGCTAACTTTTTCTTTTTCTTTAATCCTTTTTCCCATGACATAACAGATTACATACTTCTTCTAATTTAATTCTTATTTGACGAAGATGAAAATCGAACAAATTAACCTCTGTAAATCGGACAACTGAGGATTTGCAAATCCCGCTCTCAAGCTGCCCTGATAAACAGTTCATACAACATATACTTTCAGAGATATCAGATATCCATGTAGGACCATATACTCATCTATGGGCGCATGCATAACTTGGCTTCGTGCCAGTATTTCTAACATCATACATATCTCAGCACGTGCACATATCTGAACCTTCTAGCCACGATAGTGTCCTTGTCCCGTAAGACTCTCCGGATAACTGTTTCCTGAAATCATATCCCCCAAACGGGGTTAGAGACAAATCTCTAGTAAGCTCCAGGTTTATAGAGAATTCTCCATACCCTGGGCTCACTTCCTGTTTGACAGTCAGATACATAATATACAAAACATCATATACATCCTATATCATATTGTACTGAACATATCTCATATAACATGTCATATAATCAAATATTATAACTGAACAGAGAATATACACATATCTTATCAGACACGTACGCAGTAATTCCCAAGGGATGACCCCAAGCAGAAATCAACGCACGTAACAAATATCATATACAAAATCATCACAATAATCACATCAGAACAAAACATATCTTATCAGAGACGTACACAGTCATTCCCAAGGGATGACCCCAAGCAAAAATCAACGTACGTGTTCCCAAGGGAGGACCCCAAGCGGAACCAGAACATATCAGAGGTGTACACCATCAGTCCCGAGGGATGACCCCAAGCAGACATCAGTGCACATAGGATCAATGGCCAGAGATCATCACATAACAGAGGTTTACACAGTCAATCCCAAGGGAGGACCCCAAGCGAAAATCAGTGCACGTGTTCCCAAGGGAGGACCCCAAGCGGAACTCAACATATAACAGATACATACACAGTCAGTCCCAAGGGAGGACCCCAAGCGGACATCAGTGCATATAGAATCAATGGCCAGAGATCATTACAGAAATCACATCAAAACATATCAAAGTAAACACATCAAAACATATCAAAGTAAACACATAAAAAAATATCAAATTAAACACATCAAAACATATCACATCACATCATCATATAGTTTTATATGAATGCATCTATATCATATATCTCATACATATCATACAACCTAACCACAGTCCGTACACTATGGCGGAACACGAAGTAGGAGCGAATCCCATAAACATTGAGCTTACCTTTTAAAGCTTTACCACTTTGTTCACTCGTAACACAAGTTACCTATTTAGCTCCAAAGGAATCCAAGACGCTCAGTCCCTAGGCACACCTAGAGAAAGAATCCAAACAAAACTCAATAAAATGCTAAAATGCCATGTAATCACAAGACATACATTTTATTGTTTACCTTCATTTCTTTACATTTATGCCAATTCCATGCCAATACACAAGTCAAGACCATACTTTCATAAACTCCTTTATTAGACCATGTTAATGATGATTACTCACATAACAAGCAACCACCTTGGTTCGTATTTACCTAGGGTCCTTGAAGGACCTAACCAAGCTTCCGAAATATCTTTTACAATTTTTTTTAACAATTCCTAGTTCCAAAATCATACATTGGCCGAAACCAATAACAAAGGAAACTAGGGATTTTCATCAATTCTTTTTACGCAACCCTTGGTTCCTAGAACCCATACTTGACCCCAAGTTACTCATATATTCATATAACCATTTAAGCTTAAACTTTGCTCATTTTTCCTTCACAAGGCCTATATAACACATACAAAGGAGTCAAGATGTCTCTCTTTATTTCTTAAACCATTTCACTTCAAAATCATACTAAAGCTATGCATTAGAACCTAAACATATCACCAAAATAATTTTTAACAATATCAACCCCCAGATAACCCTATAGGCCGAATTCAAAGGGAGGGTTTTTCGAAGGATTATTTTTTATACTTTCCAATTAATCACTCAATTCACACTTCCAAATACATATAATCCTCCACAAACTAAGCAATTACATTTTTTGCACACTAACCCTTAAATGCCCAGTATGGTCGAACCCTATATGGTGGCCCAAGGGAATTTCTTTCAATTTTTATACACACATTCATGCTTATTTAACACCATAACATCATAAACCATATTAATTCCTCATCAATTTCCAATTTCCTACTCCAAAGTTTTCCATAACATATGCTCATAATATTCAAAACTTAAATCATAACATTTAAACCATTGGAATGAGGATCTTTTACCTCAAATCACCTATACAAGGCTTGGAGAACAAAACCCAAGCTTGGTTCCACCAAAAATCCACTTCTCTCTTGGATGAATAGTGACCGAAATCTTGAGAAGGAGAGAGCTCCTCACACAAGCCTTTTCAGCCCAAACAAATGGGTGGAATGGATTCACCATGTTTTTTACTTAAACTTTCATGTGTGGCACTTTGTGTTTTGGTTATTGTTTGAGTAAGAAATCAAGAAAAGAAAAGCTTGAAGACAAGCTTCCATGGAAGAAAAAAAAAGAGACTGAGGCGTGCGCAGGAACGGAGGTGAATGAGGGTCACTATTTCTAAACTTAAATATGTTAACTTACTTTAACTGGGTAACAGCTTATCTATTTACGCACCTCCATTCAATACCAAACTTTACCCAATGAACTAGAATATTTTTTTCGTCATATTTCTAACTTTTTTTTTTGTAAGCAGTCATATTTCTAACTTTACTTTTGCATTCCGGATAATTTTTCTTATACACATTTTTATCCCAAAAATCTCACTGACTGTACTTTTTACCTCAAAAGTAACCCGAATTTATTTAATTATGTCTTT